AAAAACTATTAACACAAACTCTACAGAGTTCAAATGTGAAACACGATATAGTTACTATTGCTAGTCATAGGGAGATTGCTTTATTCGTTCTATTTTAGGACATCTTTCTTCATCATCCTTTTACTAAAACCTCCAGAAATCCAATAAGAAAGTCGTTGATATCCTCAGTGAATAATGCAGAGGATCAATTGTTAGGTATCCTGCTGAGGATTGTCTCAATAGGGTGTGGGTTTGGTTGAAGAAGTGACCCACACCATGTCGAAGTTACTGCTAATCCACTTATCAATAAACAATTTATTAAACTGAATATTCTACTGCTGAATGTATGATCAAAAATAAACTTTTACTAATAAATATTTATTTATTTAATAATATTATTAAAGAAATGAATATTTATTAGCAAAATTTATTTTAGATCATACATTCACCGGTAAGATATTCACTTTAGTAAATTATTTATTGATAAGTGAATTAAAAGTAACTTCGACAAATTTTTCTATCGAAGTTATAACTTCTTCGAACAGTGTAATTTTGATACGACACATATATATGTGCGTATTTTCTCTCTGAGATCAGACACATACGTTTGTGTATGAGTGCATTTCGCTTTGAAATTAAAAATAAAAAGGAGAAAGTATAAAACTCGACCTCTAATACCCCTCTATACTTCAACACTTCATTTAGATCGTGCTTCACAAAATACATATATATGCCTAGAAATGAATAGCAGTAGTCCATATTTTAAATACATGATCACTATAAAATAATTCCATATTCTGGAAGCTCTTGGAGTTTCCTACCATTTTATGTGTATTTAGTTTTTTAGTTTACAATTATGCACTACTAAAATACATCAAATGTAATAAAGGCATCTTTATCATCAGATTCCCATTGACTTAACTTTGTCGCTATCATCAAAATTAGGCTATGTGATGGAATACAAACATAAAAATGGAAAAAACAGCTTTCATAACCAAATAAGAAATTCAAAATGGTACGAATCCTTCTGCAAAATCTTTCTAGTCATTTCCAAACGTATATATACATTCGTAGGCAAAACTCTTTCCCTTTACTTCTTTTTCAGCGAAGCTTTCTCTATTATTACAAGGACAAAACATGGTGTTGTTCGGCCCGACTAGAGGTTCTCTTTTATATCGCCTCAACAACACCATGTTTTATCCTTATAATAGCAGAGAAAAGCTTGCCAAGAAAAGAAGTGAAGAGAAAAACTTTTGCCCATGGATGTATTCTTTTAAAAAATTGAAATTCTTACACTTATCAGCACCACCATTTACTAAAATTTCACATATTTGATAATTTCGTTTTATATTCTGAACACCACTAAGAATAGCTTTAATCAATGGCGTTCGTTGTTCATTATCGACAACATCTAATTTTGCACCTTCTTCAACAAGATATCTGACTATGTCTATATGTCCTTTAACAACAGCTAAATGTAGTGGAGTCTATTAACGAAAAAAAAAACACATATTAGAAAAAAAAGAATTTTGAATTAAATAAAATAATTAAATACACGCTTTTGTGAATCTTTAAGATTAATTTGACCTGGTCGTGCAAGATGTTGAACTTTTTTAAGATTTCCTTCCCATGCTGCTTTATGTAATTTATTTTTTTCAAGTTCTTTTGGTGTAACATGATATGATGCAAGATTTTCAAGTGACGAAGTTGTACGGATATTGCTTGATGTTTTACTTGGACTATGAGTATCAGAAAGTGATGTTTGTGAGCCACGAAATGATGAACTACGAAATGATGAACCACTGAATAAACGTGAAAGAAATTTTGGCATCTTGAGCTCTATGTAATAAAAAACCTTAAAAAAATACAAAAATGAATCTATATATGAAAATATATACTGTCTCGACAAACAAAAAAAAAAAAATAAAGCAAACAAGAATCGAAAAAAGAAAAAGAATAACAAAGTTTTGTCGGATGCTCGTTTGTGTATACAATATACGAAATTCAAGGATTCTAATGTAAAGTGTAATCAATGCATTCATGTTTAATCAAACAAACCTATCTAAGTCGCTTGTTTATGTTTTTTATTTCTAACTGTTAACTTATTTTGAAATTTTCATATGAACAAATCTTTTTGACTTAACGAACTTCTGTTTTTCTTTTTTTTTTTTCTCTGTCAAATTAAAGCAATGTGAATGATATAGTAACACAACGGTAACTCTTGACAACCTAACAGAAATGAGAAAGAAAAAAAGAAAAAGAAAAAGGTAAGAATGTGACCAGGCGTTTTACCTTTATCTCGCGACGATATATATGAGCACTACTTCTTTTTTTTCTTTTGTCGTTGCTATTTTTGTTGCTAACAGACAAATATTAAGATGAATCCGTCATCATCATCGATGGCGCCAGTATTAGCTGATTATCATAAAAAAACAGCAAATTTACGTTCAAAAATATTAAAAAGTGAAGAAGAACGTATTCAACTTGAACAAAAATTACATTCATTATCAAATATTGATACACGTTTAAAAAAACAACAACAAATTGAATATATTCAATCATATTTTACAAAACTTAATGAAGAATCTCAACGAGCTACACAACGTAATTTAAATTTATTAAATGATTTAACACAAGCTGAACATAATTTAAATCAATTACGTATTGATACTGAACAATTAATACGTTTAAAACATGATTATTTACAATATTTAGAATCAAGTCATTCTAATCAACAAAAAATTGATGGAAATTTTCGATATAATAGTAAATAATATATATTTATTTATATCAAAAATATTAAAAATAAATTCTTTTTATTTAGCATCAACTATTCATCAGTCCGATAATAATAATAATAATAATAATTCTTCTTTATTATATAAAAATTATGAAGATCAATTAAAAATTAATTTAGATCGTACAACAAATTCTGAAATAAAAGATGATCAATCAATATCTGATACAACATCAAATACATTTTCACGTTCAAAACGTTCAGGTTCATTACGTATGGAATTACATCGTTCAGGTCTTTATTTTTTATTTGATTATATTGAAAAAGAATTAAATCATATAATTGATAAAAAAAAATTCTATCGTCATGATCCACCAACAATAACACAAACACGTACAATAATTGATATAGCTAATGAACAACAACAATATGGATTAAAAGATCTTGATCCAACAACAACATCTATGGTTATATTTGATCAATTACCATCAATAATACGTCGTACAACAATAAAGAAATGTTTATTAACAGAAGATATACTTTCATTAAATATTAAAGATTTAGATAAAGATATTATAACAAAAATGTTACCTGAACAAGATCGTTCATTATGGATACGTTTAATTGATCATTTTATACGTTTATTAAAATTACATATAATGAGTTCACAAACATTAGCTAATAAATTTGCACCAACATTATTACCAAATAATTCTATTTATTTATATGATAAAGCTAAAAGTCTTTTAAAACATATTGTTGAAAAAATTGTTGGAATACAACAATCAAGTTCTGATGATGATACATTAACAGATAAAAAACAATCTATACAACAACATATTATTAAAACAAATACACCACCAGCAACAACAACACCACGATCAACATCATCATGGTTAAATAAATTAACATCTGGTCGTGGTATTATTGATAATGATGATGATTTTGATACATCATCATCATCATCATCAATGATGACAAAATCAAAGAAAAGTATTAAATCAATAACTTCAGCATCAACAATACCAAGAACAGATGTTAATCGAGATGATAGTGATCTAGAATTTTATAGTTAATCTATTATCTTTTTGTATTATATAGTTATTGGGATATTTTGTTTTTTTTGTATCAAAAAATATGTAGTCATTAAATAAAAGTTTTATCATCATTGAAATAATCCAGAATTAGAATAACGAATGATCAAGAAGGAATTAGACGAAATGATCAATCTAGTGATCGGACGAATCGTTGCAGATGTGTGAATACATAAAGGGTTCGTACCGATGTGCATGCACCTGCGACGTATTGTCTTAGTACCTTCAAAATTTTTTTTAGAACTTCAAGTTTAGGAATCATGAGTCGACCTTCTAGAGGTGCGTAAGCTAAATCTTCAAAATAGAAGTAAAACATTATTTCAAATACAGCAAATATTTCTTTATAAGATGGTATATACTAATGATTGATTTACTCTAACGAGGGAGTTGTTTAGGGACATATTCAAAGGATGCTTGTGCATTTATCTTGGCTAAAAAAAAACATCTAGATGGTGGTATCGATGAAAAACGTTTTCGCAAAACAAAATTTCCTTGCTCTTATGCATCTCTTGCTCCTCGGAACTGTTTTAACCAATAAATTATTTTTGAGTTTGCACTCTATGCATCAGATAGACTTCACTAGGCTATGAAACGTATCCCTAGATCCTTCACTTCAGAATTATAGTCGTTCTACTCGAATTTTAGGCTATGGTATGATTTGTACACACAAATCGAATGACAATATTTCTATCCGAAATTTTGTTTACAGACAAGTCTACTTGTGATTAGAATGTTCTGCATAAAATTTCAGTCTAATGACTATAACTCGAGAAAGAAGGTCTAAGGGTACATTTCATATCTAACTGAAATCTACCTTATGCATAGAGTGCAAGTTCAAAAATGATTTCTTCATAAGTCATTTGTTAACAGTGGATTTTTTGGTAAGAGACATTGTGTCAGTTTTGGAGATTGACGAGTTCAGTTCAAGTTCAGATCTGAGGAATATGTTGAAAATGTTCTATAATCTGGACGTTAAACTAGAAACTAGTCGACCTGTAGAATAAATTTTCTCAATTTCTGTGGAAAATAGATTTGCAAAGTGAATTCGATCATTTCTGAATGATTGTTCTAAAACTTTTGATTCTTATATCACTTAGATAGAGAATAATTTCGCCTTTAATTCTATACAAAAAAAAACTAATCTGTAATATAACGTATACAGTAAAAGAGACTATTATTACAAAATATTTTGTCAAATATGAATTTTTCCCAGTGACATCATGATTTTCGAATAAGTGTTTCTTTAAAAGTTGTAACAAAGTTATTTATACCATTAGATAGACTATACTTCGAAATATATTTTTCTCTTGAAAAAAAGTGCAATTTTCATTTTTAGACAAATATTTGTCTAGATGCACACTATGCCCGGCTCTAACATCTATCTGATTACATCATTTTGATTTACTAAGTAAACTTTGAGAATGATTTATTCTCAAATATATTAGTCATCTCAGTAGCAAAAATGATGTTAATCATTGATTAATATAAATATTATTAATGCTAATGACATCTATATAGTAGATGTTGATTGATTCTAGATTAGCCATTGGAAATTTTAATATGAAATAACAAAAAAGAAAAAAGTAAATTTAACTTTGAGATTAAAATGAAACATTATTCCCTCTCTGGGAAATTCTCCAATTATGAAATATAATACGAATAATATGATGAAACTATAAATAAACTTAAGTAAAAGAATAATATTTTCATATTATTTGATACAAAATTTTTATACTTAAGATATGGATTTATTGACTGATGATATTAATGAAACATTAATGGATGAAAATAATATAATACCTGATTGTTTTGATGATCGATTGAATATGGAAGAAGATGATGATCTTATTAAAGATCCTGAAGATGATCCAAGAATTGATGAAGAATTAAATCGTGAAATTGAACAAGCAGATACAATTGCAAATGAACCTGAAGATATTTATAATACTGATGATGAGGACACAGGTATCAATGACAGTGGTTTTAATGAAAATAGTACTCCAGATCATATTCAAGAAAGTCCTACAATTAATTCCACAGTTAGTATATTATATTTTATAAATAACGGGTGGCCCATAAATAATTATACTGTTAGTATTTTCGAAATTTCTACTCTATTATCGCTTTGACTACAACACATTTTTTTAATCAAAAGATAGCGCTTGAAATTCTCTACAAAACCATATATAACTAGTTCCTAAAACTGTTTTAGATATATCTGAAAAAAGATGAAAAATAAAGACATACAAAAAGCTGGAAAAAATAACGGTATGGACATAATGAAAGGTCGCGCTTTGCATATAATGTTTTCATTACTTCACCCTATTAAAAAACAAAATATACCAAAAGATGCAGCGTGAAAAGCTCTACAATTTACAAGGAACAAATTATAAAAAGAGGAAATAAAAAAACGAAGTCATCTTGTACCAAAAAGCAATATCATTTTCGCACGGTCGAAATTTGATCGCTTAAAACTTTGTCCGTTTTGAAAACAAAAAGTGCAATTATAATATAGGTGACCTTATGTAAATTGTAGAGCTTTTCGCGCTGCATCTTTTGGTATATTTTGTTTTTTAATAGGGTGAAGTAATGAAAACATTATATGCAAAGCGCGACCTTTCATTATGTCCATCCCGTTATTTTTTCCAGCTTTTTGTATGTCTTTATTTTTCATCTTTTTTCAAATATATCTAAAACAGTTTTAGAAACTAGTTATATATGGTTTTGTAGAAAATTTCAAGCGCTATCTTTTGATAAAAAAAGTGTTTTAGTCAAAGCGATAATAGAGTAGAAATTTCGAAAATACTAACAGTATAATTATTTATGGGCCACCCGTTATATATATATAAATTTTTAACTATAGCCTACTCTATCTCTTGGACGTGGTCGAATAGGAAAAAAACCTGTTGATGAAAACAATCATCAATTACCAGCGCCACAAGTTCGTGATGTTGAACCGGACAAAGATTTTTATTCAAAACCTGCAAGAATAGCAAAATTACCAGTAATATTAACATTTTATTCGTTCTTTTTTTCTCCTCCTATGAATATCGTTTCTTTTGTTTTTTTTTAGCTTGCATATTACAGAAAACGGGAAGGTCCAACAGTACAAGTATGTACACATTTTAAAAAGGAAAATTATTTAAGAATCTAATCATTAGTTTTATTATTCTTTATAAAAATTTGTTAGAGAAATCCGATTTGGGCTAAAATATTGAATTCACATGTGTTGTGTGTCTCATTCTCAAAAGAGATACTTTTTCTCCTAAATCTTTCTATTATATTTTCTGTGCAGCAATTTCATTCTTTAATATAGCTATTTAATTTTTCCATGACTATTTAAACCTTTCTACAGCTATTTAATTATCGATCAGCTGTTTTATGTTACTATGGAACTACTTAATGTCTGTATTTTACAGGTGCTATTTATTTATTGTAGAGCTATTTAATCTTTAAAGAGCCGGTGTATGTTTGTATACACGTAAGAGTTTGGTGAAAAAAGAACTCGATGATTTTACTATCATTTTGTAATGTTCTTAAGGATGTGGGTGTGGGTGTTCCTTTTGTCTTTAATCACATACACTCACATCCATACCCTAAATATATATTAACGATATATTTTGCTATCATTTCTAAATCATTTTTAACTATAGGGTTATTTGTATTTCTTTATCGTATCATTGAGCAGGATGTGATAAAAACAACGAAAAAATATATGATTTTACTATCTTTTTTTGAATATATTTGAATTATATATGGTTACTTCTATATTTTGTTTATTAGATGAATGATCAGAGTTTGATGGAAAGAAAATTTATATGACTTTAGTATCTTTTTTACATGTATTTAAGTCATCTATTAGCTTATACGTTTTTATTATGTCAATGAGCAGCGTTTGATGAAAAAACATTATGTGATTGTACTATTATTTTAAAATCTCTTTAAATTATATGGTTAGTTGTATATTCTTTTATCAGATCATTAGCAGAGTTTGATAAAAATGAAAAAAAAACTATATAATTTTACTGTGATTTGGAAATACATTTAAATTATATAGTATGTGTATATCTTTTAATTATATAATTGAGCAGAATTGCAAAAAAAAAATGGAATATTTCGATTATGAAACTAGAGCAAAAAAAAGAGTTTTAGAAAGAATCAAACTGTTGTATGTACCATAACAGTGGCGGATTTAGGGGGGGGGGCGCTTGGGGCGATCGCCCCCATTCGAAACAAAAATTTTTGGATGTTCCCAGCAGAAAAGTCTTAAAAATAGAGTGCATTCTACTACTAATAAACTTCAAAACTTGCTTTTTGATCAAAATCGCCCCATGTCTATCGAATCGCCCCTTATCAAAAAAATTCTAGATCCGCCGCTGTACCATAATCGTGGTCTTTGTCAGAGTGAATGTATTTTACACAGGCGACTGCTTTTAAAAATTCATAGTAAAAAAATAGTTATATTAATTTCAAAAACCGTGTGAAATTTTAAATAGCTATAGGAAACTTTAGGTAGCTGTGGTGGTTTAAATAGTCGAAACAGTTTAAACAGCTATGATTTTTTAAATAGCTATATATTTAATTAAAAAGTATCTCTTTTGAGAAGCTACGCTATATCGAAACTTATTGTACAAAAAAAAATCATAGACTACCTTATATTTTGGTGTAGACAATGATAACCTTATGGAAAACGAAAATATGACTTATGTGTGAAGATAATTATTTCTCAGTCAAATTCAGATCTATTCCAAAGGTTTGATTCAGCCGTATTTATATCAGTCTGTAGATTTTAAATTGAAACTTTTTTTAATATTCTTTTAAATTGTGTTATTTGTAAAATGATTATTTATGAAAGTAAATTAGTTTAAAATTAATAGATATATTTTTAAATAAATAATCAAATCTATCTTATATATTAGAATGAACGTCGTGCACCTCGTGTATCATCTCCTTTAATCGATTTTCGAGCAACATTCACTGAAATATCATTTATTGTCGATAAAGATGATTCCGGTGACAAAGGCTATCGTCATGCATGTAAACGTTTTGAACAATTACAACCTGATATAGATTTAAATTCATCAAAATTTATTTATGACATATGGAGCTTTGGTTTATATATTTCTTCAATAAAATTAGAAAAATCTGTTTCATGTAGTCTTATAGAACTTTTTCCTCAAGAAATTAATAATGAAGAAAATCGACCATATTGGTTTATGTTTAAACGTGTACCAATGTTTTATGATTCAATACTTCGTGATAAAATTTCAAAAGAATCTGATTCTGCGAAAGGAATTTTAATTAAATTTGATCGTACTATATATGCTGATTTATCTTATGGAGCATTAACATCAATGAATCGTTTTTATCTTCATCAAGATTATATATTTCGTAAAAAGACCCGATGGTCATTATATTTTCGTGATGATGCTTTTGATATTACCACAAATGAATTTCACAGATTAAATAATAATACTGATTCATATCGAATTCGACGAAAATATAAAATACCACTGGATATTATTGATCGTGCAGTTATTGTTCAATTACGAAATGATGGATTTGATTTATTTGTAAATATGAAAGGAAATGTTCATGAATTATATGGAGAAATAAAATCGATATCTGCTGAAAATAATATTTTTGTTGAATATGAACGTCAAGGAAAATATGACAGAGAAATCATGCCTTTATTTTCAACAACTCGTATACGTATCAGACTTAAAAATAATCAATCAATAGTTGAATATCTTGAACGTGATGATAAAATATCAAAAAATACTTTATCCAATGAAAAAGATGATCTTTTACAAACATGTCGTGATGAATCATTAAAAAACATACGAAAAATATTTCGAACTTTTTTGGATTTTTTTTATAACAATCGTATACGTGTTTGTTTTGGTTCAGTAGGATCACGAAACGTATCATTAGGACAATTAAGTTCACTTAAAGGTCAAAGATTTTCAACATTTACACAATCATATTCATGGGCTATGTTATGTAATATTGGTTTTCGTGCACAAATTCAATTAAATTTAACAAAAAAATTTATAAATTGTTTACATGAATATTCTGGTTTAAAATTTGATGAAAAATATTCTTCAGATATAGATAATCGTTTTTATCGTTTATGTTTATATTTACATCGTCGATTATCAGAATATTTTTTTCTTGATTTAGATAAAGAAATTGAAATAGGTATTGAAGATTATAAGGATAAATATGTACGATCAAAACAAAAAAAATTTGAAATACTTAAATTTAATCAATTAACAACATCAACAGCTTATATTCCATCAGTTGTTTTAACACCAACAACAATAAAAATTCGTCCATTAAAATTATGTAAATTAAATCGTGTTCTTCGTGAAAAACGATTTGGTGGTTGTTTAAATTTTGCTCTTGTTGAATTACGTGATGAAGCACAACGTTTACTTTTTCCTAGTGCATTTCGTTCATTAAAAGAACAAATATTATATTATTTAACAGATGGATTTTTATTAACACCAGAACGAAGATATAAATATTTACATCATTCTCAAAGTCAAGTTAAATGTAAACAATTTTGGTTTTATTATCATGATAAAGAACATGGATATCTTTCACATGAAGATGCTTATATTTGGATGGGAAATTTTGATAAAGAACGTGTTGTAGCTAAACATGCGGCACGTATTGCACTTTGTTTTACAAGTACAGATGCAACAATTCAGGTTAGAAAAATTATTGATATCATAAGGGTGTGGAAGAAGAAACTATATTTTCATACTTACATCCATGGGAAGGTCAAAATTTTAGGACTCGAAACCAGTTGTTCAAACTTTTTCGAGCTCGGATGCAAACGATATTAATCAGTTGAGAAACTTCTGTCATTAGTCTAATAGTCGTTCCGAATTCAGCCACTAACATCTATATATATATATAATGTTCAGTGTCTGTCTGTCGCCTCTGTGCCCAGGTCAAAGATCAAATAAGGCTATAAGAGGAAGGCACCAAGTGCTACTGGGAACTTGTTGGTCCTCAAGAACTATTATATGGGGGTATCCATGGGTTCTCATGGGCTATCAAATGGAGGTACTTATAGGTCCACAAGGGCTATTATATAAAACTACCCATAGATTCTCAAGGGCTGTAAGAGGTAGGGAATAAGACTACAGGAATGCGAGACTATAAGCTGGTAAGGGGATAAGGATATAAGGGTGGGGAAGAATAAGAGGCTAAAACTACAGGGCATAAGCGATAAAGCTAAAAGAGTATAAGGAGATAAGGGTATAGCGGATAAGTAGATGAAGCTGCATGGGATATTAGGGATAAGGGAATAAGGCTATAAGAATTAATACCACAAGAGTATAAGGCTGTGAGGTCTCTCTATATATATAATGCGAACTGTCTGATTGTCTATTACCAAATCAAGGCTAAAGGAGAAATGTGAAACTTTACAGGAAAAAAGCATTCGTGCAGTATGCACGGGCTCTTGCTAGGACTTTAGGTATTTTCTCAAACAATCTTGACCATGATCTTATAATAATCGAGTCATGATTGGTTGTTAGTTTTAGAGTATGATTTGTTGAGTCGGATCTGAGGTTTCGTAATAACTCGATGGGTTCTACTGTGTCCATATCGAAATAATTTAATTATTTATTTTTAAAATAAGCAAAAAAGATTTTATGATTGTAATCTTATTTAGATTACTGCAGATAAAGTCACTTATGAACGTGATATAAAAGATGCAACAAAGAAGTACACATTTACTGATGGTGTTGGAACAATATCAATACAACTTCGTGATGAAGTAGGATAATTATTTTAAGAAATATTTTATTTTTCAACTATATTTTAATAGATAAAAGAATTCTTGAAACGTCGTCGTGATTTTAGTGTTTTACAAATTCGTTATGGTGGTTGTAAAGGTACATTTTCAGTTGATCCAAGACTTGATACTCAACAATATCAATTACAAATTCGAGATTCAATGAATAAATTTATCAGTGATCATGATATACTTGAAATATGTAAATTATCAGCACCACGTAAGTATTTATATTCAGAAGATAAGAAAATTTTCTCAAAAATTGTATTTATTTGAATAGAAATTCTTATGCTTTGTGTATTATTATTAGTAGATTGACTTAAAAGTGTATGTGTGAAATAAATGATATGAAGTGAACCTTAAAATCAGATCATTTTGTTATAAATCAATCTAGCGAGTAATGAGCTAAGAATTGTTCGTACTTGAGCCCAGCACCCAATTTCAACGAATCAGAATAATGAATTTTTGTTGCTACCACTGTTAGTTGATATTGCGCTCCTTCAATATTACTCATATCGCTTATTACAATAGACATGTCGCTTACGAGGGAAGATCTTTAAGTGTGACGCACCGTCTTGGATCAGATCTATACCACATAGTAGAGCTTGATGAGATTAGACGAAGCCTAAAAGGGCTCATCCCCATACGCTGTCCTTCTCGAGTTATGACCTTTTTACTGAATTTCGACCTAATATTGTGCCCATGAATAAGTCTCTTCTCTAGCCACCATTCTATCACGCTTTACTTAGAGTTGTTGTCCAACTGGCAATCTACTGCCGGTAGAATATCAGCACTTATGAGTACCGTCATAGTGCGAACTAACGTGCAACACAAGTTGTATAAAAAAAATGCTAGAAAACAAATTTTTAGATGAGTTTTTGAGGGATAAGAATTCTGACACTTCTAATGAAAAGTATTATTGAATTGAAGAAATGCTTTGTTTTTAGTTAATCGAGTCTATGTGCATTATGTAAACTTTTATGAGCTATGAATATCCTGAAGAGAGTTCGAACCCTTAAACGTATTGTTGCCAAGATACCAAATTTTTAGGGTATTTTTTAAGTCAATGCCAAGACACATTTACGTCTACACTATGCACATAGTTCCGACTCAAAATTGAGGATATATCCCTCGTCAGATTGATCGGCCAAAAATTTCTACTCGTGACTCATAAGAAAAATTGGTTCGGATTAATTCAGTCGAGCGGTTTAGCGCGTTAATATGAAATATAGAAATTAGTGAATCTAAATTAGATTTTAAATAAAGAATATTTCGACTTTCCTATGATTGTAAATATTTAGGTACTCTTTATCTCAATCGACAAGATATTGTTTTACTTGAAAGTCGTGATATACCTCATACAACATTTCTTTGTCTACAAAATGAAGATCATTTATGGCTTATTCGTTCTCTATTAACACCATCAATTGCATATGAATTATTACAAGAAAAAATCTTACCAATATTTCGATTACATAAAATAGCTCGAAAAATAAATATAATTGAAGAACAATTTTTTATAAAATTAATTACAACATGTGCATTTAATATTATACGTGAATTAATTGATCGAACAAGAATACGTATATCAGATAAAAAAGCAAGAAATATGTTTGGTATTGTTGATGAATATGGTATATTAGAATATGGTCAAGTCTTTATTCAATATACAATCATGCATGAAAATAAATTATATTTAACCAAAGAAGAAAAATATTTAAGAAAAAATAATATTGATCAATGTAGAATTTTAACAAATAAAGTTGTTGTTACAAAAAATCCATGTCATCATCCAGGTGATTTACGAGTATTTGATGCAATTGATTGTCTTGAATTAAGACATTTAAAAGATGTAATTGTTTTTCCACAAAAAGGTCCTCGACCACATTCAAATGAAATATCAGGATCGGACTTAGATGGTTAATATTTATTGAAAAACAAAAGATTCGTTTTTTTTTTAATAAATTCTTTTTGTTTTTAGGCGATGAATATGTTGTTATATGGCATGAAGATTTAATACCACAAACATCAAATGAAACTGCTTATGAATATGATTCTCAAGAAGATCCACCTAAACTGAATCATCCAATAACTCGAGATGATATTAATCAAGTTGTTATGGAAGTTAGTGAACAAGATTGTCTTGGAACTTTATCAAATATTCATTTAGCTTATGCAGATAAACAAGGTATTAAATCAGAAACATGTATAAAATTAGCTGGAGATATTTCACAAGAAGTAGATGCTGCAAAAACTGGTAAACATCCTTTAACAAATGAAGAAATTGTTAAACTTAGGAAAGGACTAGAAGACAAATGGCCAGATTTTATGAAAGGACGTGGAAAAAAAGAATACTATCCATCAGAACGTATTCTTGGTAAGCATTTATTATTTTCTTTTCTTTAACTCTCCTTCCACTGTCTTTACTGTAAAATCCATTTTGAACTAATGTGAAAAAAAAATAAGAGGATCTCAAGCTCTTCATATAGTGTGACGAGCAGAACCAATTGTTTTTTTGGTCTCATGAGTTTAATTACAATACATTTTGATAGAATCCAGAAAACTGTTTTTGAAGAATCTCGATTTTCCGAAGGTCTTTCACTAAAATCTGTTAATGAAAATTTGACAAATATCTCTCCTGATAGTAAAGTATTTCAACTAATCAAATATTTTCTTTGATTTTGTCCTAGTTTGTAGTACTACTCGGAATGTCTACTTTTATTTTTATTGTTTTGCTGATTTTTCGTAGCTCTATCCAAAAAAAAAACATACGTTATTAGTGATTATTTTTTTTTGTCGGGTACGGTGGTTACTCATTTATGTAGATCTCCTGCTTTCCAGATGAGAAATACAACAACAAGATATAACTGTACGTTGAGTTTGTTTTCAGATCCGTATCTACAAAAACGTGGACCTACAGCGAGTGCGTAAATTGGGACCATTACAATCTCAGTATGTCATAGAAGACAGCATCCGAGATGATAATTTTTGCATTCCTCGTCAAAATCTACCCATCCTAAATAAAAAATACTGCGTTTTATATATGAATAAACCGAAAATGGATATATTGCAACTTTTTTTTGTTTCATAATATCATTAAAATAGTATATTTCAGGAAAATCGATTGTGTGCATTTGTGTTGTTTTTTATTTTTCAGGTAAATTATATCGTTCAGCACGTCGTGCTGTCGTAGGTTGGAGTCGTGCAATAAGTAATCATGGTAATTTACGTCATATAAATTTAGCTCTTGCATTAACTTCTGGTACGGATATTAAAGATCAAGAATTAGATGATGAAACTATTAAAAAATCAAATATATTAATAAATGATGAACAATTACTTGATCCATTGATAAAACATGACAATTCGAAAAAATATCTTTCAGAAATAAAAACTTTATATAGAATCTATCAAACTGAATTACTTGAAATTATAAGTTTATATCGTTTTCAAGATGAAATTGATCTTTTTTGTCGTTGTGAATCAATGGATGCATCAGCAGGTGGAAGTAAAAAAGGTAGTCTTGAAGATTCAGCTGCAATTGAAGTACAAAATTTAATTTATAGAATAAAACAAGATTTTTATAATGAATTTGATCAACGACGTCAAAATAATGGATGTTGTAAATTCGTAAAGAATCCAGATTTGAATCGTACAAAAAGAATTGATTGTGAATTTTGTAATGAAAATAAATTAGCTAAAGCAGCTTGTGCTTATATTTATAGTTATCAACAAAGTAATCGTTTACCAACAAAATCTAATCGACGTATACTTAGTTTTCCATGGCTTTTTTCTGAACATCTTATTGAATTAAGATATAAAAATAGATCGAAAGATTTTATTGATCAATCAAATCAAATTGTTAGTAATGCATGTTCAGATTATTTGAAAAATTTAGAACCAAAATTTAAAGTTTTTATTCCTGAATATTCGATTGATATTCCATTAGTTGAATTTTATTATAGAAAAATTGAAGAAAAACCAAGAAGTTTATTACGTATAAATGGAAAATCTAATGAAAAAATTTCTCCTGTACCATTATTACGTGCTTGTTTTATTGAAATTTTAAATGATTGGTTAATAAAACAAAATATATTTGATGATAATTGTATTGAAACTGATCAAAAACCTTTAATACCTGAATCAATTTGGCATGAATTACTTATAAGATTTCTTTCAAATAAAAATGAAAATAATGTTCGTCTTATATTAGCTTTACAAACTCAAAATTTTATTACAGAACGTTATCGTCAAATTATTAATAATTATCGTATTCAATGGACAAATACTGAAGATCAACAATTACAAGATATGTTTCTTGAAATACATAAACTTGCAAGAGATTATAGTCAAACAACACAATTAACAATATGGTCTTATCTTGATGAATATATTATGTTAGCTTTACAATGTATTGGTATTGAAAAGAGACTTGTTGATAATTGGATATGTTCACCAACTATTTAATATCTATTTTGAGATTATTATGAAATTTTATTTCCATATATCGAAGGAATGATAATAATGTGAGTAATGATAAGAGCTGCAGAATCTGCCGGTAAAACGATTAGGTTTGTGCGAACGGGGAAATTTTTTCGAAAACTTTCCCAACTTGGACAACAACAAAACACATCTTTAGATCATCATGATCCGAAAATTTCCCCCACCGCGCGTTACCGTATACGGGTAGATTCTGCACCTCTGGTAAAGATATTGTGTTTGGTTTTCATCCGATGCGAAGAATAACTTTTTATGTAGTTCTTCGCTAATTTGTTTTACAATGTTTTTTATTGTAACAAAATTTTTATTTTATGTCGCGATAAACTAGAGAATGGCGAGTAGAGCCCATCGGGTAGGACCCGGAGCCATTCGGGTCCGGGTCTGAAATTTTTTTTGTGATCGGGTTCGGGTCGGGTCCAGATCTGAAGAAAACTTTAATGTATACAATGTATTGTGAATTTTTTCAAAATTTTCTTCGTTTTATGAAGAAAAAAAATTGAATGTATTTAGAAAATATACAAAAAGCAACAAAAGACTTTTTGAATATATTATCGAAACTGATTTATCATCGTGCTTGGATTCAAAAAATTTAAGTGACCGGGTCCGGGTCGGATCCGGGTCCAACATCTTTTAAACAAGCGGGTCCGGGTCGGATCCGGGTCCAACATCTTTTAAACAAGCGGGTCCGGGTCCAAAAATCTTGGATCCGACGGGCTCTAATGGCGAGTCACTATATTCAATAAGTTCCACGAAATAGCGATTTTGACGATACGGGCAAGATGATCGCAGTCCCATTGGAACCAGGACAAACACACTTTTTTATTCCGAGTGATATCTTTTATGATCGTGTAAGACTTATTCTAATAACTCATATGTTCTAAAAGTTTATGCGAAAATAATTGAGTAATATTTACTATTACAATTTTCATAATAAAATTAATCCTTTTTTTTTTCGTAAACAACGTAGTTGTCGAACACATAAACGTGTAGAATAGACGGAATATTAGCGAACTTAAAAAAATCAATGTCTCGAGCTCATTAACACTGCTAGGAAATGATATTGTACTCTTCACTACTGCATGTATTATTAAGCACGAAACCAGAACCAAATATTTTCTTCTGATCAGGACCAAAAAGAATAAGTTGTTGAGAACTTTCTTTTGAAATTACTTTCGTTTAAGAGTTTCGTATAAATCAACTTGTAAAAGAGTTTCAGAATTTTTAGACTTCGTATCTTCGACCTGTGAGCTGTTCAAAGATATAGACATTCTTTTAAAGATATTGGACAATATAAAATATTTTGAAAAATTTGCATGTTGCAGATACGAAGTCATAAATTCTAAAACCTCTTTGTACAAACTAGTATATATGAGATTTTTAAGACTTCAACCAATACGCGTTAAAATTTTACTATTGATAGAGTACTTAAAGTGGGGAGGTAAATATTCCCAGAAAAAAAAACCTTAAACAGGACTTTGGTGGTTTTTTCTGGGAAGGTCCTGGTATTCCATAGGATCACAGCGAATTCTCTCATAATCCTTCTTCAATTTTATCCGATTGGCCTGAAACTTTTATCACAGATACTTGGAAGTATTTTTCAGAGATGAAATTGGCTATTTTCGTTTTTCACCTTCTTATCCGAATTTATAGGATCCTGAACGCTAACGCCTCGGTTTTGGATCCGAACTTTTACGTATGTCTCTCATAATAAAAAAAGAAAGCGAAGTTTTTGAAAAATCGCGTAAAATCACCTCTGCGAGTTCATAAGCGGGTTCGATATAATGCCTTGGAAATCGATGAAACCCTTGTTTCAAATACTTTTTCTAGAACAAATCTCTCCTTATTTTAGATGCTTAATCTATAATAAGAACCTCAATATAAACTTCTTTGTTTTTGAAGTCTATATATAAAACTGAATATTGACTGGTGTTTATGAAAATATTTATTATGTTAATCAATGAGATTTAATAATTGTTTTTTCTAGTTACTCAACAATAAACGCAAAAATACACTATTGTCTTGATTAGTCGAATAAATTGAATATTATTACTATGTTTTCCTTTTTTTGTTAACAATATATATTTATTATGTACAATAAGTTTTTTTATTAAATTATTATGATTTTATACAGTTTTTATTTTTAATAATTAAATAATAATTTTTGTTATTCTTCTATATTAATTAATCTTCAATAAACTGTTTTTTTTTATTAAGAAAAGCTGTTAGCGCAATCTCTGCAGGATTAAAATGTGAAACACAATGTAGCTGCTGCTGGTAATCATAGAGAAATTGTTTTATTCTATCTATTTTGGAACTCATTTATTCACTGACCCTTTTATTTAATCCTCCAGAAATGCAATAAAGAAATAGTTCATATATTACAATTGAGCCGTTATTGATCTACAGTCTTTTGATCATATATCAATAACATCTGCTAGGATTAGAGATCTGCATTTCGGAGCAGTCAGAGTGCTGTCTAAATTATCTAACAATCAATAGAGTTGAACACTACAGAATAAATGCGTGTTATCTGAACCAAAAAAATAATCAAAATAAAATACATATATACTATTTTAAAGATAATGTTTGCTTAATTATTTTGAATAGATCATTGGATTATTCGTTTTGTTTTTCTTTAATGTTTAATTTTATTGTGTAAGATATTATTTACTTATTTGAACTTTAAAATATAAATACGATATTCAAATGCTTAAAAAAAACAAGAATTCGAGTAGAACATAATTCGAATTTTTTTATTATGCATGAGAGAATATTTCTTGATAAAAATACATTCATGAAGTTAGATAAAAATTTTTCTTTGTAGATTCTATATCAATGGTATATAAGCCATATCTATTATTAATCGATTCTAGTCAAAATTATTTTTGTATTGACAATGTTAACAGACAATTGGATTGTTTTAGCTTATATTATGATAATCTCATCGATAATTTTATGTGGTATTCTTCCAATGATACTTCGTCTATTTAATGATCGTCAACATTTTTATCATTATAATCTTGAACGTCAAAATATTGAATATTCAAGTTCAAATAAATTTCTAACTTTACAATCAAATGATAATAATGTAGATTATAAAATTTATCAAAATTTTCAACGAATTAATTCTTTTGAACAACCAATTTTTTATACACAAATACCATTTATTGATGATGATACATTTGTTTAAATCATCTTGTCCAGTTCCATAAGAATGTATATGTATATATATATATCTGGATATAAATTTTCCAAAATACAAGGTCATAGACTTTTATCCTGGCTACATGGAAGGCTTCATGATCGAATATTATTTTGTTTAAAACAATTGTACAAATGTCTGTTCATTTTTTCTGTGTATATATATGTATCGTGAACAAATCCTATTTAGAAAGAAATAATAAACGATTCTCTACGATTTCAAAAGACTTTCTTTTATAGCATAAATATTAAACAAAATATAATCTCAATGAATATTATTCTAAACTACGTCGATACGAATTATTCTGAGACACCACTACCAGTAGCTTTGGGATTTATTTTTTTGAGAATTATGGGGATTTCACTATAAGTCCTGTTGTATATGTTATCATCAAACGGAAGAAATTAGACTGAAGGCAAGTGCCTAGATAACGGTATGGGCGAAAAGAGCACGTATGGCCGATCATCAGCTGGAAGTGACGGCTAATTCCTCATAACTATGGCTCTCTCTTGATTAGGAAGCTGTGAGTCCACATTTTTCTCGACCAGGATCCGATCGAGTCCAATCGGGTCCGCACCTGACGTATTTTCATCGACACGCGTCATCCTTCATGTACATGAACAAGTAGAGGATTCAGGTTTTAACGATTTATTCGCCACTCTCTGGAATAAAACTCAATCTATACTTATATCTTGTTGCTATATTTCTCATCTGAGAAGCAGCAGATTCACAAAAATGTGTAATGAGGCCTAAAAAAAACAAAAGGTTGGACCCGGGCCCGACAATAAAATAAAACTTTAGACCCGCATCCGGCCGGATCTGCAAATCCTTACTTTTGATACAATTAAAGTGTATAATACACTACCCATAGATAACTCTGGCGATTTAAATAAGTCCCAGTAGCTCCTTTTCATTAAAGAAGCTAGCTGGAGACCATGACAGACCTCGATGGATGCTAGTCAGAGATTGTCACGACGGTGACAGGCGCCTTAGCACTGGCTTCCTTTCCATCACAGATCGTACATGAATGATGTCAATCTTCTCGTGATTATCAACAGTAGCTACATCGTATTTTATGTATTAATTTTGCAGAAATTGTATTAATAACTTTTTTTTTAATATGATTATAATGAAATTAATTGTTGATTATATTGTTTTAGATTGAAATAAAATGATTGAAATCGATATAAATTTATTAATGTCTTTTTTTTGGTTATCTATATCAGCTGGTATATTACTACCAGGTATATGGTTATTAATTGATGGTAAAACAAATTTAACAATAATTAATATAATTCTTCAACGTTTTTATTTATTTGGTAAATTAAAAAATCAAAATCAAAATAAGAAAAAATTATTTAGTGATGTACCAAAATCATTTTTTCTACATTTTTATATTATTGGTCTATTAATAAATATACCTTTATTTCTTTTTTATCGATTATCATTTTTTTTATTTCTAATTTTTATTTGTCATATGTTTCGACGTTTATATGAATGTATATATATACATAAATTTGGTAAAAATTCAACAATGAGTTTTATTCATTATCTTGTTGGTTTAATTCATTATCCATTTGTTGGTTTAACAATTATAATTGATGATAAATATTCATATAAAAATATTTCAATATTAAATTATTGTTTATCATTATTATTATTTATTATTGCAAGTTATATTCAATATTATGTTCATTTAACATTAGCAAAAAATCGTCAAACTAAAAATGAATATTATCCAATACCAAATGATTATTGGTTATTTGAATATTTTTCTTGTCCAAATTATATAGCAGAAATTTTTATTTATATATCATTTTTACTTGTTAGTCATCGTACATCATGTTTTATGTCATTAACTATATGGGTTATTGTTAATCAATGTCTTTCAGCTTTATTAAATCATCGTTGGTATTGTCAACATTATGGTCAAATGTATCCATCGAAAAGATGTGCACTTATACCATTTATTCTGTAACTGATAAGTGGTGACATCTAAAGAACTTTTTTTGTTAAACATAATATCCATAGCAACATACTGCGTTGATAATACATTCTTATGTTCAATCTTTTTTTTTCTGTTATTGAAAAGGTTATATTGATATATATATATATATATTGATTCTAGATGGCTGTTGTTGCTGCAAGTGAATTGTCAAATGTTCGTTCATCTGTAATATTTGAAATATTTTTAACAATAAATCGTTGGTGTGTATTATTTTGGTTACTTATTGAATCTCTTTGTTTTGTTTATAAAAATGCAACAATTATATATCCTAATCAAGGTCATCTAACTGGAGAAATAATTCTTATGCTTAGTGTATTTTTTATTGATTTATTTCGTATATTACTTGGATCAATATCAAATCGAACTGAAAGTATTCTATTATCTGCTATAACAATTATATTAACATTTGCTATATTTTTTGGATATTTATATTTTATTGTATGGCAATTATTTGTTACACGAGCAGAATTAATAATGACAGTTATTGCATTAATTTTTACTGGATTTGGTATTGTATTTTTAATATTATGTATTATTTTTTTTGCTCGACCAACACCAATACCATCAATTTATCGACAAATGCCATATCGTGCATCAATGTAAAAATAAATAAACAAATTAATATTACATTTTTTTATTGTAAAACATTTATCTCAAACATAATAAATGATCTGTTTTTAGAGAGAAGTATTCATCTCAATGAAAAATGATTTCTCTCTTTCTATGTATCAAAGCATAATTTACAATTAAATTTCGATATAAACTGTAGAGAATAAAGTCCATTGAATTGCTTTTGCACTTGACGTCGAGTCAAGATTGGAATTTGAAACTGATCCAACGAGTCATACTATCCACATTATGTATAGACCCTAATGAGCTATAAATACCCTGAAAAGAGTTTATGCTCTTAGCTTTCTGCTGTGGAGATAGTAGAGTCGTGCTGAACAGTTCCAAAAAATTTAGTTTGTCTGACGTCTTAGGACATTTTAAAAATTAGACGGGATTCGCGCACTCGAAAAAAGTTTGTCCCGCAGGATTCTCGGAGATACTACACTTGTTCGTTAATTTTTAAATGAAAACTGTGGTCCTCATTGAGGATATCAAAAAAAAATTGATTTTCGAATTTCGATTTGAAACTTTGTATAATAGCAGGTCTTAGCAAGAATAGTTTCAGATTTTTTGATTTACTTCTATCCTAAACTAAGAATATCGAATCTATCAATGTATATGAACGATGTAAAAGATCATAGCCATATTCAGCGGCAAGATATGAAACATTCACAAAAAAAAACCTATTCTCATTAAGACCTATCTCTATGCAAAGTTTCAAGTCGAAATTCAAAAATGAGTTTTCCTTATGTTCCTAAGAGGAACTATGGCATTCAATTAAAAACTGTCCTAAAAGTACACCATCTCCGCAGCAATATATTGTCAGGAAATATTCATAGTTTATTTAGATTTACTTAATGCACATAGTCTTGATTCGAAAGCAATTTACCAGTCCTTCGTGAGAAATGCATCGAGTATGTTGGTAACAGATTACAAATAATCAATAAAAATGATTTCGCATCTCTGGAACAACTATCAGATTCAGACTAAAAAGGGAGCGTACAAAAATTTTAGATTCACTAGGTTCTAGTAGAGAATCGAAGTAATATGACTACGCCTCAGAAAGGCTGAGTCCTTTCCTTTTTTGGAAAATTTTAAAATTTGTTGCTAACACTTGTCTTACAGGGGAGAAGACTCAGGTTTTATCGTCGGTGCTAAATTGAACGATAAAAGTTCGCCTAAGATAAATGGTGTCAAACAATACAATGACATTGTCATTACTGTCAAGTGAATTAAATTATTTATTAATTGATTTCTAATGATTGACATCAAAGACATTGAACAATCCTATCTAAAATAAATCTTTTAAATTCTATCAATATAAATATCTTATATCATATGAAATAATCAATTTATTACTAAAAATCATTTGATTTTTAAATAAAATACTTCATTTGATAATTCATATGTAAATGAAATATTATACTTGACAATGTTTTCTACGGAAAGAAAAAATTCATTCTCCGGAAATGAATAATATTTACTTAAAAATTTATTTTTTCTATTTCAACGATAAAAATAGAAATAAAAAAAAGTTCATTCGATTGGCGCTTGAGCTATTTTATGTTTCTCAAATGACAGATATTAATTGATTCTATTAATATTTTGCTTCTTTTTTTTTTTTATTGTGTTGTATCATCAAATGAATGGAAAAATATTCAATAAAAACTAAAAAGATTAATCAAGATAAAGAAATTAATCATAAAAATGATAATAATGATGATGATGATGATGATACATTATCATCTCATTCAATACTTTCAATTGATCCAAATCAATCATTAGTAAATAATATTGGTCATAATTTATTTCAATTAGCTATTAAACAAGCACGTGAAGAACGACGTCAAACTAAAATTCGACAAAAAAATAAAAAATCATCAACAATTATTCAACGACAAACAAGATTAATTAAAAAAAAATCAATAACAAACAATGATATTGATCGTTTATTTGAAGAAAAATGTTTACGACCATCAACAATTAAAAATGATCTTATGGAACTTTATGAAAAATCTACAAATCGTATACGTTCAATGTTAGATATCAAACAAATTGATCATTTTATTCAAACAACACAAACGAGAAAAAATAATTGAATATATTAAACAAATTTGAATAATCCTTTAATTCTTTTTTTTATGCTACAAAAACAAAATTGTCTATTCATCTATTTGTCGTTTATTAATAATAAAATCGTGGAGAAAAGCTTTAAGGATTGATATACTTAGACAGAATGTATGGTTAATAAGTACATATGAAGAGACTCAACAGGCTTTAGCCTCTGTTTCACAAATAAGATTTTATTTTTTTCTACAGCAGAAAAAAAAATACAATTCACTCGTGTATTATCATGCCTTTGTTCAACATGACGAGTAATAATTCTATTACTAATCACATCCTTCAAAAGAGCATAACGTGTTCGACACAACAGATGAATTTACTTTGAAAAGTCTTCATCTTAGAGTTTTTAAAAGTCCGAATTTGGATTTTTAAAGTACTCTAATGAGGGAACATTCCCAATTGATATGCACCAGTTGAGCTCAAGTTTTGTTGGTGGCTAGAGTTGATCATATATATATAAAAGAATTTGTGCCATTGCTGCTTTATTTCAGAGTTACGAGCGGAACAAGTATCGTGGTAGATGGCGCTATCTTCTCTACACTAATTTTCTTTTCTTTTCGTATCTTAACTAGGATATACCTTTTTCAGGTGAATCTGACTTTGCGTTCGAGAGATAGAACATGTCTTATGGCTCTTTTTATTTTTTTGAATAATCACTTTCATTTGTTTCATCTATGAGCTCTTGCAAGATTTCTTCATTCTCTTTTGATTTCACGTAGAAGAAAAAAAAATTAAAATAAAAAGATAGTTATAGTATTTGCTTTTTTTTTATCCAAAAAATAAATGAAAAAGTATACAAGGAAAACAATCAACATTTAATGAACGTTCGAAGAAAGATACTGATCAAAGTCTAATGGTGATGATATTTTAGAAAAAAAAAATGAGCGAAACAAAACTTCTATATCGAAGTAACAAAATTCAAAAACTGCATTTGATACAACAAAAGGGTTCTATTCTATAGAACGTAAAGAAAAATATTTTCTCTTTGTTCTTCAAGAATGCGTATTATGTTATGTGTTTTATAACAGTACAATTATTAGAAGAACTTCTTTTTTTCCCATCTTCTGAACACAAAGTTAGATTCAACTGAGAATTTTAGGATGAATAATCTATGCAAAAAACACAGCGCCATCTACCATGATATTTGTTCCGCTCGTAACTTTGAAATAAAGCAGCAATGGCACAAATCCTTTTAGATAATTCATATGTATGATCAAGCCTAGCTGCCAACAAAACATGAATTCTAACAGTGCGTATCAGATAGGAATGTTCTCTCGTAAAGTGAAGATTTTTCAAAATAAATTAATCTATTATATTGGACACGTTCTGCACTTTCGAAGGATATGATTAGTAACAGAATTATTGATTGTCGTGTTGAACAAAGCATGATGACACACGAGTGTATTGCATTTTTTTTTCTGCTATAGAAAAAAATAAAAAGCTTATTTATGAAACAGAGACTAGATTTTGTCGAGTCTCTTCATATGTACTTACTAAACAACATATTCTGCCTAAGTATATCAATCATTAAAACTTTCTTATCTCGTGTGTTTGAATAGAATAAAAAGAAACGATTTTGTTCTTAAATTTTTTTTTGCCCGTATTTGAAAAAAAGACGAAGTGCATTAAAGATCATTATATGGTTGTATACATTTGAAATTAAAGGGTAGGTTAGTATGGAAATTATGCGTGAACAACATAGTAGGAAAAACTCTGTAATTAGACAAGACAACCTTTAGTAAAAAGAAAAAACGAGTTATTGACGAATATTAACATGGGATTTATGCGCACGAATGAGATATTTTTTTTATACTAATATATGCATGTTAATGATGCGTTTTTTGTAAAAAAAAAAAAAAAAGACAATATTTATTGTGTCTTTTCCTATACACACGTGATGTGACTTATAAAGAAAAAGAAAATTTTTGTTACATCTTTCAGCTTGACTACCTATGTCATATTGTCGTTATTTTAGAATATCTTTATGTAAAGTTTTGACATCGAATAGAGTCTATTCAATATGCCAGAATCTCATTCTTATGTTTTTTTATTTAACTCGACTTGAATAGAATCTACAAAAACAAAAGAAAAATATAAATGGACTTTGATTTAATATGTGCATGTTTCCTTGTTGACACTAAATTACTATATGCCAGTCGTTCATGCTCTATAGATGTATTCATATATTTTTGCTTTTTTTTTTTGTTTTTTTCCAAGACAAAAGAATTTCTCTTGGAAATAGAGAAAGATAAAGATGAGCGATAGAGACACAAAATTAAAAAGACTTATATGCATTTCTCGATCCAAACATAATAAAAGTGACTTCTTTCTTCGTGCACTTAGTTTTGCCTCACATCGCAGATTATTGTTCTTATCAATATCAATCTGAATTAAGCGGCATGAAAAAGACAAGCGAAAGAGAAAAAGAAAGAAATTTTTTACAAGCGTTTTTTTTTTCATACACAGTAGAATGAAATAATGTGTATTCTATGAATGTAGTGATTTAACATATAAAAGAATTGTTAATTTAGAAAGTTCATCATGTCATATACAAATGTTGGCAACATAAGTTTCTAAAATTTTAACTAACACTTGTTATTATATATCGACAACTCACTAATCATCTTTTCGCTAGTTATTATAATCATCGGTCGACATTTATTCGTATCTTTCTCCTTATGTCGCCTTTCTGATCATCTTTTTCCGATAACAGACAATCTTGTCTAGTAAACAAGTTGACAAGTGGAAGCTAATACTTAAAAATGTTATGTAGGAATAAAGAAGAAGATGAACATGTCGCCCACCCTATTTATGATGGAACTAACGAAATTTTTTTTGTCTAGTATCCTCGTAATCATAATACAAAAAAAATGGATGCGATTAAACAAAGAACAAAGAAGAACTTGTCTTATTCATTTTTATGAATACAAGTATTGAAATGCCTGACGATCCATTTGTTTAATACATAACGTGTCAATTGAATTCTACATTCATATAGACTTTTGCAGGTCTTTCAATTGAACAATACTAAATAGAACATCATTTAAATAGATGCTACTTCGAAAAACATTCTAAGAAAAAAAAATATATCGTAATCAAATGAATCAACTACTATAATCAAAAAGTAGATGCAATTCGAGAGAAAATGAGAAGGACAGCACCATGCAATTACCGAGGCAAAGAAAGAAAGCTAAAATAGAGTGAGTGAGAGAGAGAGAGAGAGGGAAAGAAAAGGAAGATCTAGCAGTAGTAGTAATAGAAGCGGCGATGGAGAGAACTTCCCTTTTTTTTTTGTTGTCTTTGTCAAATAGATTAACTTTGAAAACGAGAATGAATGATTCGGGAAGTAAAAGTACTAGAAATAAAGCAAAAAAAAGAAACCAAAATTGTCATCTATACACATATAGATTTTATTCATATTTAAATTCATGATAGATAATATTTATTTTATTTTTCTAGACGTAAAATACGTATAATCGATGTTATATTATTATTATCATCATTATCGATTGATCTTTTACTTTCTTATCTTATTCGTCTATGAAACATTATCAACAACAGAACGTTATGCACATCGTCGAGGTGATGTTACATTAGGTGGATTATTTCCTGTACATGAATATGGTAATCCACGAGAACCATGTGGAGCTATAAGTGAATTTCGTGGTATACAACGTTTAGAAGCAATGCTTTTTGCTATTGAACAAATAAATAATAATAAACAATTATTACCTGGTATTGAATTAGGTGCACTTATATTTGATACATGTTCTGATGATAATTATGCATTAGAACAATCATTAAGATTTGTACGTAGTCGTTTAGCATCAGGTACATGTATATGTATAAATACATCAACACAAGAATCATTTCATAATGATAATATATTTGGTGTTGTTGGTGCAACATTAAGTTCTGTTAGTGTACATGTTGCTAATTTATTACGTTTATTTCAATTACCACAAATATCATATGCATCAACAACACCTAAATTAAGTGAACCATCATTTGATTATTTTGCTCGTACTGTTCCGTCCGATTCAAATCAAGCACGTGCAATTGTTGATATATTACAATCATTAAATTTTACATATGTTAATGCAATTTATTCACATGGTGATTATGGTGAAGGTGGTTTTCGTGAATTTAAACGTTTACTTAAATTATCAACTAATATAGATGATGATATAAATTTATTAAATAATAAAAAACGACAACAACAACAACGAATATGTATTGCTGATGAACAACGTTTAAAACGTGATGCATCAATATATGATATTAAAATTATTTTAGAAACAATGTTAGAACGTATTAAATCTGATGTAAAAGCACGTGTTTATGTTTTATTTGTTACAAAAGAAGATGCAAGAAAATTATTACAAGCAATTAAATTATTTAATGGTACATATCGACCTGTTTTAATTGCTAGTGATGCATGGGTATAATAAAAAGAATTTCGATAGTTTTTTTGTTATTTGTTTTTATATTTCATTTAAAATTTTAGGGTAAAGAATCATCAGTTGTAATTAATGGTGAAACAGATGATATAGCTGTTGGAGCATTAACACTTGAACTTGTTTCAATACAACCATTAAATTTTGATCGTTATTTTAATTCACTTAAACCTGATATAATAAATAGAAAAAAATATGAAAATTTTTATGATAATGATGAACAATCAATATCATCAAGAAATCCATGGTTTAATGAATTTTGGGAAAATCGTTTCGGTTGTAATTTAACATCATCATCATCATCAATATGTGCTAATTATCAATTAAATGAAACAAATTGGGATAGTAAATTACAATTTATTGTTGATGCAACATATGTATTTGCTCAAGCATTACATACATATTTTAATTGTACATCATCAACATGTTTTCATGTTTCTTTAAATTATATAAATGGTACAAAATTATTTCAATTGATCTTAGAAAAAACATTTACAAGTAAAGTTTTTCTTTTTTTTTTTTTTTTTTTGTCTTCATCTATAGACATATGTCAAATCGATTTTGTAATAATCAATGATAAATGCATTGTTGCAAAAAAAAAAGAAGAATTTCATTTCTTTTTTTTTTTTTAGTTTTGTTTCTTCGTACAGACAATAGATAATGAACCAATTATTAAACATTACTCGATTACTCTCGACGAAAAAAAAAAAATTCATAATTTTTTCGATCATATTATTAGCTACATGTTCCTTAAGAGTAGATGTATAATAAATCATTTTGGATCATGTTCACTGAGATGAACCTAATTCTCAGAATTATCGGATTACATGATCATAAATCTTTTTTTTTTGTTTTTCGTGCAGGTATTAACCTAAAGCAGCGGCAGAATTAAAATACAAAATACCCATGGGAAAAGTTGAATAACATGCCTAGAATTTGTCGTATAGGTTCTGAATCCAATCAGCCGAGATGTTACTCTGAAAAGTAATAGCCAATTATAACTTGATTATACGAACATCCATCAAGATTGTTTCGAAAAATATATATGGTGTGGTTATCGTTGAACATAAATAAAAAAAAAAAAAAAGTGTCACATATCTTCAGAACGACTATCAAATGCGAATTTTATTGAAAGTATTAAGAGTGCAGTTCATGTCGGAGTATAAAAATTTTGATTCTAATAACTCTAGTCATTCCTTAGCTATGTACTGAACTAATCACAAAAGTTGAAAACTATTAGTTTCAGTTTGAAGATATTGTCTTCTTGTTAATGAAAGAAAAAAAATGCTCTGAAAAACAACAACAACAAAAATAATTTTTTTAATTTTATTTTAGTGCCTGATTATCGACAAATACAATTTAATTCTGAACGTTTTGTACCAGGTCATTATCGTATATATAATTATCGTCGATCACATTTAACATCATCAGATATAAATGCATCACCATATGAATATATATCTGTTGGTGAATGGAAAATAGGTCGAAATAAAAATGGTCAATTAAATATAGCTATTGATTCAATTGTTTGGCCAGGTTCAAATATTAATAGTCTATCATCAACAACAACAATAATTCCTATATCACGTTGTTCAGTACCATGTCGTGTAGGTGAATTAAAACAATTTCAAGGTGATTCATGTTGTTGGGTATGTACACCATGTAATGAAACATCAATTGTTGTTGATACACAAGAAAATGAATATTGTTTACCATGTCCAATTGGATTTTGGCCAACAACAAATCGTACATCATGTTTTAAACTTAAAGTAACATATATTGAAATTTTATCAATACAAGCACTTATACCAATATGTTTATCAATTATTGGTAATATTCTTACATTATTTATTGTTATACTTTTTTATAACAAACGTGAAACACCTATTGTTAAAGCAAGTGGAAAAGAACTTTGTTTTATAATGTTAGCTGGAATACATTTATGTTATTTAATGACATTTCCTATTTTATTAAAACCACATATTATAACATGTATTATTCAACGTTTAGGTATAGGTTTAGGATTTTCAATGATGTATGCAGCATTATTAACAAAAACAAATCGTATTGCAAGAATATTTGAAAGTACAAAAAAACAAGGTACATTCAAATTTTTCATTGTAAAAATAGTATATACGATTTAAGATAATTATCTATATGTAAAAACTGCCAATGGATAACTCAGTATAATGTGTGCTATACCGGCAGTAGTTTGATCCCTTAAACGGTTGGCTATTCTCTGAGCGTCATACTATGGAAGTATACCGATAGTTTTTCTTATATAAGATGATGTTTAGTAAAAGTTCATCTAGATAATTTATTCTTGTCATGTAAATGTTGACATGCAAAAGGTTACAAGAACATATTTATATGATAAATCTTTAAGAATGAAATAAATTTTATTTTTTTAGGTAAATTACGTCCTCAATATATATCTCCAAATTCTCAAGTAGCTATTTGTTCATGTTTAATATTAATTCAACTTCTACTTTCATTATTATGGCTTGCATACGAACGTCCTTCTGTTGATTTAATAGCTTATGATCGTTTAGTAACACTTAAATGTCATATGAATAAATATTCATTTCTTTTTTCATTAACTTATAATGTTTTACTTGTACTTGTATGTACAATGTATGCTATACGTACACGTAAAGTACCAGAAAATTTTAATGAAACAAAATTTATTGGTTTTACTTGTTATACAACATGTATTATTTGGTTTGTTAAACATTTTTTTTATTAAAAAAAACATAAAGTTATAACAATATTATTTTTTTTTTCTATTATAGGTTAGCATTTATTCCAATTTATTTTACAGCTTATGAAACTGGTCGTTATCAAGTAATTTAAATTTCGAAGATTATAAAGGAATTCTTTTAATTGTTTTTTTGATTTTAAGGTACATATAGCAACTCTATGTATAACAATATCTTTATGTGCTACAGTAGCATTAGCTTGTCTATTTTCACCTAAAGTTTATATTATACTTTTACATCCTGAAAAAAATATGCGTGTAACAAAACAAATGAAAGGTCAAACAAATAAATCACCAATTTCATCAAAAAAATCAACAAATCCTGATTATACAAATAATAATCAAAATATAAGTCATGATTTATTTAATAATGATATACAATCAAAATCTATTGGTAATAATAATAATAATAATGAAAAAAATTATCAACCATTAGTATCAAAATTAACTGTAACATTTCAATCTATACCAAATGATTATAAAAAATATGATAAAAAAATAAAACAAAAAAATAAACAAAATAAATCAACTATGATAACAACTACTCATTCAAAAAATATTTTAAATAATGAAAAATATCAAGTTAAAATTAAAAAATATAATCATGAAGATGATGATAGTCTCAATTCAAATCCAATACAAGATGAAGAAGGAATATTGTAACAAAAACATCAACGTACATAGTTTCTATTTGTATGTGTTATTCTATTGTTTATTTTTTTTTTTGTGTTCGACGATTTATAATAAAAAAGAAATATTTGATGAACTCTTGTTTACACATGTATATAATATTCTAATTGAAAAAAAAAATTGCAATGTAATTAACGATAGTACTATGAATATTTTTTTTTTGTATTATTTAAATACATTGGAAATTAGTTTCAATACTTGAAAAATTTTAGTTTACTTTCACGGCATAATATTAATTGTTTGCTGTTCAGATATAGACGCTTTTTCATTTTAATAATTATAGAAAAAAAAAACAAACAGGAAGCTTTCAAAATCACATTGAATTTATTTTTCGTTTAATGATTATAAATTATCTAACTGTACACAACAACCAGTTGTTGACAGAGATAAAAAAGAAAAAGATGCTTATTTACTTGAAACACAGCCCGTAAACTAATTATAGTATTCAATTAAATACAAAATCTTTCAAAAGAAACACGTATTTATTTGCAAAATAATGTTCAAGTCGTCTTAATTCATGCAAGTTATTTGAAACATTTTCAGTTTTCTCGAAGTGTACATACATCAAACTGTGTATTTTTACACGACTTCTAATCTTGCAGCTACTTGTATTATTTATGAAAATTGTATGACTTGCATGAGAATGCCAAAAGTGTTACTTACAAGATGGTTAGAATTTTGTCAATACTAAAAAAATGATATGATTATCTCAACTTTAGTTGCAGTTTAAATTGAATCAGATTTATTTATTAGAAAAAGAGACCAATAAAAAAAAGCCTCAATAAATTAGTTGATTAAGTCTCGTACTAGATCATCGTTTTTTTTTTTGCCATAACAAAAGACAAACCAGTAAGAGTATGAGCATGGAAGACTTTAGTTTTTTTCTCTACAATATATCATTGTTTATTTCTTGTTAAAATAGATTTGTTTTTCTATAAGTACTAGATATGTACAAAATGATCGCGGTGGAATCGAGACGAAGTTTTCTTTTGACTGAGACTAGAACTAAAAACAATTGGCCTCGCTGGCACACAATATTGTCTAAAAAGATCATTCAGATTATTGACATTCATGTGTATAAGCGTTCAAAGTTATGAGACAATCATTAAGTCCGGATTTATTTTTACATATACACATTCCTGTATATTCAAAGGGTCAATGAGAAGAATTGTATTCTATTTTTATAAAATTAAATAAAAGTTAAAATGACGCAGGACTCGAATTTTTGATTATAATATATTAATGAATAATCGTTTGTAATAGAAGAATATATTATCATCATTTGGATAATTTAATTTAATGAAAAATTAATTACAGATTTCCATATGTACAAGGCTGATTATGATAAACAATAAGTACACATTGTTTCTTTTACCTCTTGTCGCTAGTGTCAATGTTAATAAAGTGTTTTTGTCACGTGTCTTTACTTTTATGTTTTTGAACTTTTTTATTCAAGAAAAAAATCTTCATAATTAAAAATCTGTAATTGAATGAATATTTTAGGAAAAATGGAAGAGTTTTGATTAAAACATAAAAATAGTATTCATTAACCAATAGAAATCTATTCAAAATCCATTGCGTATTTATTTTGTTTTTATTTATATATAGGATAGACATGGCATTCAGCATCTGCATTGTACACTTTTATTATGATATGTCTATTCAATTTTTATGTATTTTATAGATTTTTATTTTTATTTTTTATACTAAATAATTTAAAACACTTATTTTGAGTCTAATAAGAAAAAAATTGATTAATTAAATCATAAACTTATATTTTTGAGTAACACAAAACAATAGTATATATTGATTTATTAAAATAGATACATAGATTATTCTTTAAATTTAAGCTTACTTTTTTTTTTGTTTAATAAATAGTAGATTATAAAAAAAAATAATCACATATGAAATTTGACTAAATACATATTTGATAATATCTACGTAATAAAATAATCGGTCAAAGAGTATATTTTATAAGTATATAGATATATATATCGAACACGTGTTTTATTATTTCAGGTATTTTATTTAATTTTAAACAAAATGTCACATATTTGTCGTCTTATACCTCGTACAACAACAAATCTTTTATATGTATCACGTATGAATGCACATACTTTACCACCAGGTACAACAGTTAAAGTACCTGAAGCTAAAGGAGGAAATCATATTGTTTCGGGTTCTGGTCAATTTATTGCTACAGATGGACCATCTGGTACGGGAAGAAGTAATATTGGTGGTGGTAGTAGTGCAAGTATGTTACCAGGTGCACAAACAGCTTATGATAAAACAAATCCAAATAAGACAACAGCAGATGCTAAAGCATCTCAAACGTCAAGTGGTCCAGATAAAGAGTATAAAAATAAAAATAAGATAAATTTTATTTAAATTCTAATTTACGTTTTTTTTCTTTGTCTAGACATCAATCAATTTTAAAAAGTCCTTTGGGTCAATTTGGTTTAGTAGCTCTTACTGCTATATCAATTTGTAAGTTTTGAAGAAAAAAAAAAAGAATTATTTTAATCGAAATAATAATAAATTGTTTCTTTTTTGATTAGATGGAGCTTATAAAATGTTACTTGGTAATGCACCAAATCAAAAAGAAAATTTAAAAGATGTACACGCACGTATAACAAGACCGGATCTTCAATCTGAATCAGCTGTTCACGCTAAAGTAGCCGAAGACAATAATCCAGATAAACCTCGTGAAGGTGTTAATCCATCAAAGAAAAAATCTTCATGAACAATAATGTCAGTAAAATTCATAGACTTTTCCATAGAAAAATATAAGCGATTTTTTTTCACTCTCTCTCGTGTACTCTATATTCTAATTATTAAACAACCAGAAGGAAAAAAATTTAGCAAATTAGACTTCTAATTATTCACTCGTATTGGTTTATGTTTTTTTAGATTTTTAATAATGTCTTCATATCTTTTACGAACACGAGGAATATTTACCATTCCTCGTTATGTTCCTACGTTAATAGCACGTGCACAAGCAAGTCAAACTACTAGTTCAGTACCACCGACACCTGGCCAAGTATGATATTGATATTTGATTTTCTTTTTATACAACTCACATATATAGATTTCGAAGGAAAATAGGAAGTGTAAGTTTTAATTTGTGGTTTTGCGGTTCCATTCATGTTCATAACAATCAAGGTCATTGAGTACATATTGAGAACAACTAGCGCCAGACTTCTTTCATAGAGTTTCTTAACAACAACAAAAAAGTACCAACGACAAGATTTAGAATGTTTTCAATAGTATAGTTTCTAATTTTTTTTGCGTACATAAACTTCAATTCGTTTGCTTGATATTTTGACTAGGAATAGAGATCGCTAGTAGCAGTCCGAAGTTGATAGCGCCAGTATAGTCTGATCTCTATTGATAACTGCGATTGTGGAATTTTGAGAAAAAATTGGATTAGAACAGGATATTCATTATGCTCTATTTGTAGTCAAACTATAAGACTAAAGAATTCAAATTTTGGAACTTTTTGTGATTACTATATGATAGACATTACGGATGATAACTAGTAATGTTTCGATTCACTATAATTATCATTAGAGCTCACAGAACTGCTGTAGATATATCAACAAATTTATTTGCCAGTTAAATGAATAGTTAAGATAATAATAATGTAAAATGAAAGAAAAATAACGAACGAATAGCAACAAGATAAACAAAAATCGTGGACTACTAATGCTATTTGAAAAAAAAATAGAATACAAAAGTTAGATATACGTCACTTATTATATTTTTTAAGGGTATACCAATGTCTGGTAGTACAAAAACAGTGTCACAAACAGGTGGAACAAAAAAAGGTGACTCATCAGTTTTACCACCAAGTGGCACTGCATCCGATCATACAAATCCAACAAAAACAAGTTCTGATGCACCACCATTAGATCATGCACATGTAGATGAAGCTGATAAATCAAGTGATAAACAACGTCGAAATACTTCTACTGGTAGTAGCAAGTCTCCAGGATCAGAGTAAATTTGATTTTCTTTTTGTTCTATTTAATGAAATATGAATGTTTTTTTTTTTTTAGTTCTAGTAAATCAACTAACCAATCATTTATGAGTACACCAGTTGGTCAAATTGGTGCAATTGCTGTTCTTGGCGCTGTTATCTGTATGTTATGAAATATATTTTTTCTTTTGTCTTTTTTTTATAGTACTTTATTTTTTAGATTATGGTTATACTATGATGAGAAGTAGTGGAAAAGATCTGAAGAAAAATGAACATTACAAAAAAGCTACAGCTGATTATCAAGCAGCTAATGCTAAAAATACTGATGTTAAACCTTAAATTGTTGATATTCTTACCAAATCAGATAATCAAGCAGTGTAGATTTTAAAAACATTACTTTCTCTTATATTTATATTATTATTCTAGCTATGATATTTATATGAATATAAAACTTTTGTTTTATGTATATTTCCGAATCTATTTCCTTACATCGAAAGAATTTATACTTTTCTCAAATCTTAATAAACTTTCTACATAGAAATTCTTTCCCTGATAGATTTATTATGCTACTAATAGACAAATAAATGTAATTGTGTGATATCATTCAATAATATCTTTTCTTGTGTGTAATTATTACATATCTTCATTCTTTATCAATAATCATACAAGAAAAAAACAATTAGATATTTCTTATTATCATTTTAGATGCAGATATTCGTAATCAATACGTTCAGTACAAAAACACTTTTTACTAATAAATAGAATTTACAAACTCGTCCTCCAAAACATAGTCGACATAAATAGCTTATGTCAGAACCTAAACTATCGAATATTTTTCTAGAGACTCAAAATTTTCGGAAAACTCACAAATCCTTTTAGAGCTTTTATTAGAACACTAGACAGCATCTATAGGAAACATTTAAGGAGGCCACCTCGTAGGATGTGGATATGAAGAGTAGATTCACACTTGTGTTTTCTTTAGATTTTCTCTTCCGGAGGAGAGTAATTAAAAACTCCGGAAGGGTCAACTAAGTGCGCCATCGTCACGAAGTGAACTTGAACGTATAGTTTCACTTCGAGAAAACGAATATTTGAAGAATGAAAGTGAAGAAAAAGGATGATACTACGAGCCGGGATCATCTGGAGATGTAATTTCCATTGCTATTATGAAATGATAAAAGATCGATAAATAAATTTTGATAGCACTTTACGTAAATCTTCAAATGTCTTTATTTTCTTTCAAGTCTTATTCTAAGTCAAGTATACACGTATATATACAATCAATTCATTCTAAAGAAAATTTAAATGAGAAGTAGCGTCATCGTACATAATCAAAAGAAAAAAAAAAAGGAGGTTGCCATTTTATTTTTCATTGGATAATTCAATCAATGATGAGTAAATAGAATCTTGACAAATGAAATAAAATAAATTTCATATGATTTGAGTAATGACTATATAATCATATAAAATATAAACTCAAAATTAAATATCTTTTATAAAAAGATTTTTTAAATGTCTTTAAATACTCGTATAAAACGAAAAAAAGAACTTCGAGAAGAATATATTGAACAAAATGGATTAATATTTCAACTACCTGATGAAACACTTCTTTCAATATTTAAATATCTTACAATAGATGAACTTATTCATGCTGCTAGGTTTTATTAATCATTTTTCTTTTTTTATTATTTATCCAATATCTTTATTTTTCAATAGTATTTGTAAATGGTTTCGTCGTATTGCTTATGATGATGAATTTTGGACAACAATTGATTTAACATCAAAAGTCTATTCAAATCGTGTATTATTAAAATTTTTACGTCGTTTTCCTCGTGATTGTACAGAAGTATTAAAAATTTCTGGTGGATTACATCATAATAATTCAGGTAAACCACCTCCATATACTGAACAATTAAATTCTTTAATACAAATATCTTATCCAAATCTTCGTTATTTATATTTATCACAATATGATTTTCATATTAATCAAACTGCTATTCGAAATATAACATATTTACCATCAAATCTTTATGGTCTTTATTTAAATAAATGTGAAATGTTAACAACAAATCTTTCAGGAGGATTAAATTTTTTACAAATATCACAAAAATTTCAAAAAAAAATTCCTTTTCAACAACTTCAAATACTTTCATTTGAAAATTCATCATGTTTAAAATCTGAATCAATTCATTATTTAATTGATTTATGTCCAAATTTAATTGAAATTAATTTTAATGGTTGTTTTCGTATAATACCAACAAGAATATTTATTAATACACTTATTTCATATAGTAATACACTTCGTCGACTTTATTTAAGTGAAACACAAATTACTGATGATACAATTCATTCTATATGTCGAAAATTAAAACGTTTAAATATACTTAATATTAAAAATTGTAAACATATTACAAAAAATATAGTCGAAAATTTATTAACATTAAAACAATTACAAAAATTAATAGCAAATGATGATATTCAAAATTTTTATAATCAAAGAAAAAATGAAGAAAATTAATAAATGTTATTAATATATACAGGCTATGTCAGACAAAACAAGACATACTAAACTTTGATTTGATTTTTATTCTTTACAAGGATTAATTTTTTAAAATAAGTTCTTTTAGCATAGACATATTGATTCGTTCAGTTGACTATTAATTAAATAGTAATTAGCAAATGTCTCTCTAATCATACAACAAACAAAAAATTCGAAAACTTCAGAATAGACTCTACAATACAAGTCACATCTATGATGAAATTTTTAGCAAAATTAAATTTCAACAAAACTTTTTCTTAAAAACCAGTTTTCTCAAGTCTCGAAACAACAATTTTTTGTCTTACCATCATCTAGACAGCTTGTCTACAGATAACATACCCATCTAAAAGGAATCCTTACGTCAGAGTGATTCGAAAAAGCTCACATTCCTCGAAAGTTTCTCGTTTTGAACAAAATGTTTCAATTTATATTTATCGCTAAGCTAACAGACCTCACGATGGTAAGATATTTTCTTTGGAAATTTGTTCCTACAAAGAATTACCACCAAGACATTATGGCAATGAACTCATTGGCTTTTTTTCTACATTCTCTAAAAAAAAGCACGTTTTTTTACAGTTTTGACAATAATACCAAATATTCCATTGATGTCAACCTTCAACGATATTACTGTTGTTTCTGTCTCTTTTAAATGATACTTATAAGAGCATTTTTTCGTACTCCATTACGTCGCTAACGAAAAGTAAATCGATTTTTTTTTGAAAAAATTTAAGCATGCTAAGAAAAAATTTGAATAGATATTTTATAGCCTCAGAAGTTTTCTCAAAGGGGAAAACCATACTTCTGTAGTTCTTCATACTTCTTCACATTTGCACTGACATTTTCAAGAAGAAAATGGTGCTTATTTCAAGTATGATAAAAATAAACGAATCATGCTGAATAACTAACAAATATCAGTGCATGGTAATTAAACAGAAAATATAAAAGTAACATACAAAATGAATCAAAATAATCGATCATTGATAAGAAATAGAAAAAACTTAAACAAAATAAAGTTTTAATGACATATATTTTCGTATTTCTGTAACTAACAATGAAATATTTTATGCTATATATTTCTTATGACTTTCTTTATTTTTACTTTTTAATAAGTACCTTAAACTAACAAAAACTGTCTCATCTTCCTGAGAACATTTCTATATTTCTCTACAGTTCTTCCTACTTTAGAAGTATAGAGGTATGGAATATCGCCTTCGACAATGACATTAGAAATTCTGCTTCTGCCTATATCAAAGTAGTCATATTGAAAGTTAATTTGATGCTTCGAGCGTTGAATATATGGATTAAACTTGAGCTGGTGATAGAGGAGATAGGACCACATAAGAAAAATAGGGTTTTCTCATTCTTACTCTAATTGAGAATTTAAAGATTGACTTTTAAAGTCAGATTTAATAATTTATTGGTGCAAATCAAAACGCCAACTGAATATGTTACATTCATTCAGAATACCTGTTATATAGTGAATTATTGCTGAAGCGACATTGCTTGGTCTATGAATCTCAGAGATTGTGCGGCGTTAATCATATTTGCTAGATGAAAAGTTTTGAAATCGATGATTATCATGTATTTCGTTTAAGAACATGAATATGTTCGGCACAGAAAGAAGAAACATAATGAATATCTACATGTGCCTGCACATAGATTTGATCAGTTTACGAATGCGTGCAAATTCTGTATGTTAGATGCAAATGTGAAAAACAGAATATACAGAGATAGCAGAAAAGTCAATTATAACAGTCTTGTCTCAAGAAGATATTTGACGTATCATACAAGGCCTATAAATGATGTCACTTATAAGAGGACACAAGTTAGTTTCAGTCTAAATGGGTCCAGCATTGATTCGTCACATATGAGTATATCATTATTCTCATCATCTTGACAAAATTCGATAAGATCTTTGCATGCGATCGACACTTTAATTCATTCACTATTTGTTTTTCACTTCATCGTTGTTCGATCAATTTTCGTTGTTGTCAATTGTCGACCTTTTTTCCACAATAGAAACTCGCCGAAGTAGACAGTTTTAGAACAACACTTTGTAGGCCATCTTCACAAAATGTGTTCTCACCAGTTATGAAATTGTTCTACTTGATCACAGCTTTTATTTCCACATTTTGAAGCGAAACATTCGACTGCGATGAGTGAAAAGAGTGCGAGTGTATATGTGAGTGTGGGTATAAGCTTTTTTTGGTACGGGTCTTGCCCTCTCCATACCCACCGACTCACACACACATATATAGGCACACAACCATCGACATGCTCACTTACACATTGGCACTCATACTTACAATCAGGTCTCATGAACATGTGAATTGTGTACAGCAAGAAAATCATTTAGAAGCAGTAAAGAATGTTTTTCTTTTGTATCTGATAACGAACTGAAGGATTTCATTTTATCTTCGTACTTATGACGACATTGGCTAAACAGTTTTGTAGAACAAGCCTTGATTCTTGTTGGCTAAAAAGGTAGAGAGCTCTTTATCTCGCAAACTTACAATACGTGTGAGTTGCAAAAGATAACGACATACTTTCAAACTGTAGTGCATTACTTATTATACGATCGGTATTTTTTCTCCATATTCAATATTTACTTATTTAATATTCATGGCTGATAGACCAACTGATGAATTAGAATCTAAGAACACGACTTTATCAACACCAACATCAAGATATGAGCAATTCGATGTTAATGATTCTAATGAAGTGAAAGTAAAGAGTGGCAAGTTCGTATAACGAAGTTAAAGAAAAACTATTGTTATAGATCATTGTCAATATAGAAAGGTAGGTCCTCTGGCCATAACTCTTCTTGCTCTACTCGTGATTGCGGTTGTGGTGATCGCTGTCACTGTTCCAACCGTTCTCTTGACTCGATCAACAACCCAATCTTCAAATATTTCAATATCCGTTAATTCATCGACAATACTGCCAACGATAGGTGTCACTTCGACAGTCACTACTACTAAATCACAGACGATAGGTGAGATTCGAGCACAGGAAAATCTTTTATTCATTCAGCTCTTTGTAGCAAGAGCTACTTCCGCACTGGAAATATGCGTGTTGGTGTGGATGTGGGTGAACAGAAGACTTTCAATTATACCCATGTCTATCATCCATTTACACCTGCATACACATTCATTCCCGCACTCACACCTAGACATGCACCAAATCCAAGCACTCTGAATATAGTAAGTTTCGTAAAATGAGCTCGGATTCGAGCTCGAGTTTGGCTTTGATACTAAAAGTAATCGAATGGTTCAAGTTCGAGTTTAGGCCCACTTTCGCTAACGTTATTTTCTTCCAAAACACGCATCAATTCTAATTCTAATTCTAATTCTACCCAAGTTTACTCTAGTCGAAGAATTGGAATTGGCACATCTCTAGAAGAAAATAACGTAAAAAGAAGTGGACCTGAAATCAACATTGAATCATTCGATGACTTTTAATGTCGAATTCAAATCTAACTTCCAAACGGTTTGAGTTTGAGTTTGGTGCATGTGTATCCACAACAACATCCTAATCAGATTTAGATTGACAAGATTTTCATATAGATTAAGTCAAGTTATGAGAAACTGATGTAGGGGTACCACAATCCGTTTAAGAATCTTAAATTACTCTTACATTGAAAGTGTTTCAATCAATGATATCAATTATCTATGTTAAGTTTTGTAAAGAATGTTAGTCATTCATAATAAAATTTAGAAGAAAACATCTGTTAACTTGAGTTAGTTTGAGAAATACGCTCACATCAATGTTTTATCACCAGCCATTACCTTTTTTTTCCCTCTCTGGACTCACGATACTATCAAGTTAAATTTCCTACCTATTTCATGTATTAGGTAGATACTGGAATCAATTGTATTCTTCATTGGACACATTTCTCGAATTTTTTTAAAAATGATAATTCACTTTTAGTAAATTATTATCAATACATAAACAAAAACATCTGCTTATTATAATGCCGCAGTCAAGAAATACGAGTGGATTCCGACAGGAAGACACCGTAAATCGATAGGATTTAAAGGCAGTATTACTGGCAGAAAAGTTTTCAAATTCTTATGATGACTTCCAGGTAACTTCCTGTTCTTTTAGATGAAAAATAGCCGAAAATCATGGACAAAATCCGAAAACTTTTCGACCCGAAGTACTGCATTCAAGTTCCATCGATTCCCCATGTTTTTCTGTCTGATGCGATGGTTTTCCTGGAACTTTTCGATAGGTTCCATTGAAATCATCGACCTAGGTCGATAAGATTAAATGCGTTTCGTTATAAGAGAAATATTACAGCTCACACTATTCAAGAGCTCAGAAATAGAAATTCCTCAATTGTTGAACGCCTATTGAAGGCACTGTGGTATATTGTTAAGGAATCGAAGATAAATGGTAAATGTTTCCATAGCTCCATGATTTGTAATAAGTGGAGTAATCCATTGTATAATATACTTTTTGCTATCATGAATTCATTTTTGCAGCGAGCTTCACTGATCTTCATATAAGTGTGACATATATCTTAAATTTTGTGCTATTATGAATATGAAAATTAGGGAACTATGGAAAAAAACAAGGAAAAATTCCCATTTATCGATACACTGCATACTCTTAGATTATATTTGTTGAAGTTTGTGCAAAATTGACAAACAAGTTAATATAGAGGGTGGTCCAAAAGTCGCACAACCGAGAAACAATCGAATATCTCTGTTGCGGCTCGAGCAAACAGACTGATTTTTTTATCACTAATAAAGGCATGTTCACACTCTATATTCATAAAGACAAGGCTAGAGAGAACCTTTTCCTAAGTACCACTATTGACTTCAACAAAAAAATTTTACTTTTTCACAGATGGGAAACAACAATGCAATATTTTCTTCTATCTTGGCCATTGTAGATCTGCCACTTCGTGATGCGTCATCGACAGAACCTTTTTCATTAAACTTTTCTGCCAGTCGATAAATTGTTGATCGATTCGAATTCTGTCATTAGGAAATTCATTTCGAAAAACTGTATTTACTACTCGTAATATTCTTCCTGATGTCCACCGATGTTTGACTTCTTCCTCGCACATTGTTTTTTCCCTATCTGTGAAAAAGTAAATTTTTTTTGTTGCAGTCAATAGTGGTACTTAAAAAAGGTTCTCTTTAGCTTTGTCTTTATTAGTGGTAAAAAAATCAGTCCATTTGCTCGAACCATAACAGAGATATTCGATTGTTTCTCGGTTGCGTGACTTTTGAGCCATTCTGTATATGTGAGTGATAGAATGACTAATTCAAATAACAAATCTGTATCGACCATCTATATAAAAAGTCTCTTAGAAACTATGAAAACGTTTACACTTGTTCCTACTAAAGGATAAAGAATTTCGTATAACGAAGTTGAAACCTTGTTATAGCCTGCAGAATGTTAAGAGTTTTTCCACTTCAAGTAAGAAACAATTTTCATTTTACAATGTTTTCAAACACTTTACTTAGACCAAAAAAATAATCTTGTGTGTTCTATAATACTCCAATTTTTAGTCTGAATATATTTAAATGGTTCTTGTAGGATGGCTTAACATTGGTAACATGAATATTGCACGATATCGACATACAGCATCCGTATTAACAAATGAAAAAGTCTTAGTTACTGGTGGACAAAATGATAATCCTGCTTTAAATAGTGCTGAGTTGTATGATCCATCAACAGGAACCTGGACAATGACTGGCAGTATGAATAATGCACGACGATGGCATACAGCATCTGTATTAACAAATGGAAAACTATTAGTTACCGGTGGATATGATAGTAGTTCTCGCCTAGATAGTGCTGAATTATATGATCTATCAACAGGAACTTGGATAATGACAGCTAATATGAATAATGCACGAGAAGGACACACAGCATCCGTATTGAC